TTAGCAAGTGGCTTGCTATGGGGGCACTGGTCAAGGAGGGAGGAATGCTGGCACAAAAAGAAGAGACTCAGTGCTGCTCTGTGCAAAACCATTGAACAGAGCAGGTATGACTTTGTTTTTGTTTTTTTAAAGCCGAATTAACGGTTAACAATTAAAAACATGTTATTGCATTTAAGTAAACTAATGGTTACATTACTCGGCTATATAATGACATGGCATGCCTTCCTGTCCACTTCAAAAAAATTAAGTAAAAAGGTTATTCTGTATATATTTCCCTGAACAACATTGTTGATAAACAGCTAGACAGACTTTAATGACAGCTGCCACAACTGTTCTGAATACACAGCAACTCCAGCTTTGATTAATCAGAGTTGAGAATTGCTAGGGAGGGGGGATCCTGGAAGCAGAGCAGAAGGACAAGACATGCTACACACCATCCAATGTATTAAACTAGTTAAAGTGTTACTAAACCCACACCAGTAAAATCAGTCTGTATAAGCAGCAAAGCATGCTTGTTATACTCACTGTGGAACCTAAGGGGTTAGTCCTCCCCATTGTGTAAAAAGGTCATTTGATCCCATCTTCTCTGCCCCTCCTCTTGTCCAAATGTCCACCTGATAAGACAGACTGAACCCATAGCCACATGCTCAATTTAGTGTGTATTGCTATAGTGTTTTTTTTTGTCTAGGGAGTGCATGTGATCAGCACTGGGCCAATCAGCACTGTCCAGGCAAGAGGTCTGTGGTTCTGCATCCTCCAAGAGAAAACTCCTACTACAAGCTTTAACCAGTGCTCTGCTGAAGTCACAAGACTGCTCTAACTGTTGATAGGAAAAGGTATTTAGCAGTTTATATTTACTAAAATAATTGCATTTCCATGCTGTGTGTACTGTGGGAGACCAGATATAATGAATGCAGGGTCCTGGGTTTAGTAACATTTTAAGCTGGCCTTTGTTTGCAGCATGCTGCTGTATCATTCATTTCCCATAGCTTGTTGAATTTTGATTTACCTTGTCACTCATGAAGGAGCCTACTTACACCATCTGTATACTGTATGAAACCAACAACATGCAAATAAAAATGTTAAGGCCATATAAAAAAAATTTAACAAAAATGACTTGCTCACCAAAAAAAAGCAACATTTTCTTCAATTATGCATTTTGAGAAATTAATATAATAGTAAATACGGTTTCTCCTACCTCCAAAATAACCTAAATTCCTTTACCGCATAATAGACAGAAAACTTTCACCCTTGAAAGTGCTAATAATCATATAGCGTTTCTATTACGTAAATAATACTACCCACCAAATACTACGTGCTATATCCCAAACTATATATTACTAACAAACAATAATTCCTCCAAACAGCAGTCTGTGAAAAATCGTAAACAAATCCCACAGTCACTTAAATGGAATGTCACTTTGAAATAAATGCCAAGTGTCACTTCAAAAAAAGTCCAATAGAAAAAATATATATTAAAGTGTCCACACTCCAACTTAAAAGATCCTTTGATGCGGAGCCCTTCCGCTGGCTCTCACTAGGACAGAGAATACCTCAAAAAAAGAGAAACTCAGATAGTGTATTCCCTTAATAGTAACATTTATAAATCATATCAATACCACTTAAAAAAATGTGAAAAAATTCATATAGTGCAAAAACAAATGAACACTGTGCAAAAAAATTACTGATAGTGCTTCACTCTGTGAATACAATGCCAGTGATCCCACCAGTGTGCACTTCTACTGTACAAGGAATATATACCCTTACCAGAAAATTAAAACAAACACGCCTTATCAAATAGTAGGAATCAGCAGAATCACGCTTCCTCTCCTCCACTCCTGAAGCGTATTCTTTAGGAAATCAGTAACCATCCCATCCCATCATCATGGTTATAAAAGAGCCTTCCCAGGAACTCTCAGGCATTCATGCAGGTAATATATAAATGAGATATATAGTGTGATTCCGTTTTACAGATGTAAAATTAAGCTTTAATAGATCTGCTTACATATAATAAACATTAAAAGAGCATTTTTCCCATGCCTCAAACCTCAGAGGGTTGCCAAGCAGCTTCCAGTTTTACATGTGGTTCCAGTCTCCAAAATGGCCGCTGCACCACTTCCGGTTCCTTCTCCTGTACATCCGATGTCACTTCCCTTGACACGTTTCATCACATCTGTGACTTAGTGACGAAACACGTACACATATTTACTCCGCCCCCCTATAGGGTGGGAGTAGTTTTTTGTTATCTGTCAAAGACATCAGGGGATACAAGATGCTATAAGAGCCTGCCTTCAAAACGCATCAGCCGTAATTTGGCCCTGGGATTGCTCTCATCTAGACATCTATTGACCCCCATCAGTCATGGCACCAAGTGGCTGTCAGTTATGCGAACTGTCATCACATTGGTATTTTTTTTAATCTATACTAAATTTTTTGGGGATAATGTGCTAGGCCAGTGCGCTCTTGCTCTGTCTATTTGCAGTTTTATGGGTAAGGCATACCAGACTGCTGCAGTACACAAGGTGCCTGGATGCTTTAGAGATAATTTGACCAGACATGAAAGACTTTAAGGAGACTGCTTTACATTTTTTTTTTCCTTTTACCTTACATGCTTACCATTGCCATGGGTGAACTTTAACTGAACACTTGAAGGGAGCTCCAATTCTTATTCCACATTCCTTGTGCCAGTGACATGCAATACCTAGATCCCACAAAGCTAGAACACTTAACACATAACAAGGAGTTCCTCTTCAGTCCCCAATCAAAATTTAAACCTACTTGGGAATAGAGGAAAAAGTCCAAAGGAGGTTTCAAGAAGTACATCCCTAATGAATCTGTACAGACATCTGTGTTTTTATGCAGAGAATCTCACAGAACGTATAGTTAACTCACTCTACCATATCCTAACACATTTGCTGTTAATACTGGATAGCACCAGTTGCTCACTAAGTGTTTTCTGGTGATGATGGCATTGTGCTGTAAGCGGTCATTGACAGCAGAAGATGACTGATTCTACTCCCAGATATGATTTCTTCAATCCAACTTCATCCATAAAATGTTCTGGCTGCCATATGGAGCAAAAGGGGGCTACAGACATTTAGATTTCTGGAACTTAGCAGTATATATTTACTACTTCTTAAGCTACCAAAGGCCCGAAGCTGCAATTATTATTCAGTTTTACAAAATGTTTGGAAAAAGATTGAGTACAGTTACACTGCTAATCATTTACTTACACAACCGAACGTATCAGAATACAGAGCCCATGGGAAACCCACATAAACAGAATAAAGGCAGCACAGTAGCTAGCACTTCCACTTGGCAGCACTAGGGTCATGGTTCAAATCCCAGCCACAGCACTACCTGCCTGGAGTTTGCATGTTCTCCTTGTGTCTGCATGTGTTTTCTCTCAGTACTCCAGTTTCCTCCTACACTCCAAGACATGCTGGTAGGTTAATTGGCTCCTGTCTAAATTAGCCCTAGTATGTGTATGTATGAGTTAGGGACAGAGAGAGAGATGCTGCATAAATTGATGGCACTATATACATGCCTGTAATAAATATTATGCAAATGTCATAAGGTATGTCCAGGGTGGGGACCGAAACCAGGACCTCAGAGCTGCAAGGTAAACCAAACTTTTTTTTTTTTTTTTTTTAAGCATTAGTTCTTTGCCACAAAAATGCCTATGCAGGTAGAGGGCACTTGTGCACAGCTTTGACCACAAAGTTAAGTAATGCCATAAGGGTGCAGGCAATTTATGTACCTCCTGAATCTTGGCTGAGAAAATCCCCAGGATCACATCATCCCTTTCTGCCTTGTTGCAGAGTTGGATTGCAGAGTGCAGTTCCTGTTTAACCATTTCGCTACCATGCCCTAAGGGCAATGCAAGAGAAAAAAAAAAAAAAACTATACTGTGCTTTATATAGCACGCTTTTGCAGAGGCAAAGAAATACAACAGCCACCATATGATGAATACTGAAGTCTGGTTACTATGGGTTACCTCACGGTCAAGTCAGAACACCCCTATTGCTAGTTCCTTCTAGAAATCTAAAAAAAGGATATCCACAAAACGCTATTATTCAATAAACTCATGCCAAAACCAGCCTGAATAGCTAGACAGGTACTGGTGTCAGAATCAGTTGAAACTGAACAGGATTAGGTCTGCAATAAAAGCATGCATTATGTGAAAAGAAACATGAGCAGCTTAACTCTTATCTGAATTCTTTTTCTACTTCTTTTTCAGGTCTGGCTGATATTCGTTTTTTTCCTGGCAATACCCAAAAGAGCAGGGGGTTTTATTTTGCACAAAAGGTCCCAGTTACTGTGCAATATGAATAAAATGGTTCTAGGAAAGTCTAGCAGAACCATTAGCAGCAGTGTTACATTTCCACTTCCCTTCAATTTACTAGGAAAGGGCAGTCAAGCGCACATACAAAACTGCTAAATCCACAATAATGGGACATACATTAAAGCTCATTAATTCATTCTAACCCAGAACCACTTAGCATTTGTATTAGCATCAAGTCGCAACATTAAAATGACTGAATGTATCCCAGTAAAATGTGGGAGTTCTATAATTTTGTAAAGTTTCATTCTTCTTTATAATTTACCATGTATGGAGAATAAAGAGAGGGGGGAGTTATGCTGAGAAGTTCTGCAACTTGTGAATGGTAAGAGTATTTAAAAGATAAATTACAGATTCCTTGGAGAGCACCTTTCTATCAAGTATAGCTCTCACTTTGTACTTGGTTAGGCAAAGTACAGCCTCGCTTTGTTTTGAAACATGAAAGTCAAAAAAGGAAGGAATGTACACTATTCCACCAAGTCACAAGTGCTAGCATCAAACTACAGGCTAAAAATTTTGCAAACCATAAACAGCTGGACACCATTAGAAACAGGTTTATTAAACAAAAAAAACAAAAATGAAAGACATTTGAGCAGTTACATATCTGAAACAATTTTTTAAAAAAAAAATATACAAAAAAAAAAAAAAAAAAAAAAAGTTATCGCCGTTTTTGGAAGATATTTCCTCGACCCATTCCACGTCCTCTTCCTCTTGCAGCCACTGAAAAATGTAAAACACTGAAAATCAATTTATAAAAATGACAATCTAAATAAAGCAAGTCTGCTGTTGAAAAATAAAAACAGGAAAATTGGAAGGTTTTAAAAACGGGAATGCCAGTGCGTCTTATGGAGCGAATATAAAGCGGCCGGTCCAGTATTTCTGCGACCACCATGTCAGAATATCGAGCCGGCCGCTCAGCTCTTCTCTCCTGCAGGACCTTACCTGTTCCTCGCTCCAGCGCTGTAGTCTTCCCGCGCCGGCTTAACAGGTCCCAGAAGGCGCCGGGCCATTCACAAAGCACAGCGCTTACCGCGCATGAGCAGTGGGCACCCGGCTGTCACAGAAGCCGGCGCGGGAAGGACAACTCCGCGGAAGTGGGAGCAGATACCTGTCAAATGCAGGTACCCGCTCCCCCTCCCTCCCCAAAGGTCCGCAGTCTCTGGTCATCTGTACTATGTCCCTGGTATTTTCCCTGTACTATGTCCGCAGTCTCTGGTCTTCTACTGTGTCCGCAGTCACTGGTCATTTCCTGTACTATGTCTGCAGTCCATTGGTTCAGAATATTTTTTTTCTTGTTTTCCGCCTCTAAAATCTAGGTGCGTCTTATGGTCAGGTGTGTCTTATGGAGTGCGAAATACGGTACGTTTGTACGTTTCATGTGGTCAGGGATAGACACTAATTTTATTGGAGAAAAAAAAAAAAAAAAAAAAATGTGCAAGGATCGCTATTAGGTTGTAAACATTCCATTCTGACTTTCTTTGCTGGAGAAATGTCTGATTGCTTTGATGGAAAATGGCAAGCATATTATCTTATAACCAGCGTTTAATGCAAAAACACAATATTTGGGCCTGCCAACTAGCACAGTTTATTTTAAAGCCTGATTTTAAACCAAATGTTTTTACTGCCTTTTGTGACTGTCACTAAAGTGTGCAGAGAGCTCAAAATCAAATTCCTAGTAGACTTATGCATAAAACTAAAGTATATGCAACATAGCAACAATTACTGTGTAAATGCAGTTATTTAATAAGTATTTGATAGCTGTCAATTCATTTTGGACCGTACTCGAGGAACCTTCCTTGCAAAAGCAGGCTCCTGAAAAGGACTACGGGCTGATTGAAGACAAAGTATTCCATTTTTTTTTTTTTTTTTATATATAAGTTGGAAGCTATGCTTACCTTGAGCTTTGAGAATAGCCGCTTTCCCCCTTCCAGCACCTGAACCCTGATTTTTATTCTTCATGCTCTTTAACATCGGGGCATTTTTTAACATGTCTGGAAGTATCAAGAAACGGATTTTGCTTCCTCTAATGTAGACTTGTTCAAGCTGCGCAACTCTGCCGTCCCTGTAGGTTACAGTGATGTTTGACATCTGAAACAAAACATTTGATGAGTTATAGTTCAAGTGGTTGAAATGGCATAACACAAAGCTTAATACAGTACACATACACAAAATGAAGCAGAAAAATCAATAAAAAAAAGTAAATTTAGAGTAAAGGTAATACATTAACATATCCAATTAGAGAAAAAATAAAAAAGCTTTACTCACTGTTTTTGGAGTTTGTGTACATTATAGAACTGCTATAGGACAGAGTTTTCCATTCACATCTTGTATATAATACACAGAAGAGCACAGAATGTTCATGAAAAAAATAGTTTTAACAAATTTTCTTGGAAATATCAGATAAGAGTGGCAAGTAGTTTATTTAGCCAGCAGCCTGTTGTGTCTGCCCTGACAAGCTCTGAAGCCATTTTAGATAGAATCAACATCCAAAAGCTACACTGCCCTAATGCCAGAATGCAACTGAAAACAATGCAAATGAGGAATGTGACTGTGGGCAAGCTCCTGGTTTGTCACCTACACAGAACATCAAACAACCCTATTGTTACATTGGAGCCAAGGATTAAACACAGTAATATTTCCTAATAAAAGTGGTACAAGTGTCAAAAGCATGGAAAAAAAACTACTGTATTTCTTGCATTCTTCTGTATACTGCTATAAAAAAAATATAATTATTTGAGCTCATAGGAGGGCCATGCAGTAGTGACAAGGACAGCAGGTAAGTGTTAGGGAACATTTGAGTGTTGTAAATGTACCGGAGCATTTACTTTAATGCCATAAATGCATTAAGAAACAGAGGCTTTAACAACTTAAAGACCACCCTATAGCAGTTTTACTGCTACAGGGCAGTCCTGTGCAAAAATCACATACACACACGATTTTGACTTCCAACACAGGGGGCATTCCGCCACTGGCTCGCTTCTGCTGTGAGCACTCACAACAAGCTGATCTGCGAGTCCCAGTGAACGGATGTTCGCTGGCACCCGCCAATCATCGGGTAGAACAAAAGAGCTATGCCACAGTAAACAAGGCACAGCTCTGTTCTGACAGGGAGGGAAGTGAAAGATTGTGTGTCCCTGCAAAGCTGGCAACACAATCCTTCACTTCCCCTAGTAATAGAGCCACCTAGTGTACACCAAGCAAATAGCTAGGCACACAGTTAACCATTTGATCATCAATAACATAAAAATAGTGCAGCGCTGAAAATAATGACAAAATGACAAAAAAGTAGTCCACTAAAAGTCTATGACATATAAAACGTATCCAGTGTCAGATGTGGATTCAGAATAGGTGATCCGTGTGAAATGGCTGGAAAACGCACTCACCAGAAGTAAGACACATAAACGCAGTGTGTATATAAAACTCAAGGATCTTCAATCCAGAGGGAAGTAAAGCTGATCCGGTTACAGGAATGGTGAATCCCTCCTCCGCAGATGCAGCAACCGATCTACCTTAACACGATTAGATGTAGAATTCCAAGACCAAGGTTCTGCAAGCAAAAGCTCCTCAAGGGAGTTTTAGGGAAGGACACCCATAGTGAAGTAGGTAATAAAAGGCAGCTTTATTCACAATAATGATATCCAATTCAAAGCAGGCAGGTATCATACAGATGTGTCAGCAAGACAACTAACCCTGATACTTTGAATAGTGGCCGCCGGGCCTCCACGTGGCACCGGCGGCGTAGCGTCTCGACGTCCAGGCTCCTCCTTACGCGTTACGTGCGCACGCACATCTTCAGAGGTATGGAACCATACCTCTGAAGATGTGCGTGCGCACGTAACGCGTAAGGAGGAGCCTGGACGTCGAGACGCTACGCCGCCGGTGCCACGTGGAGGCCCGGCGGCCACTATTCAAAGTATCAGGGTTAGTTGTCTTGCTGACACATCTGTATGATACCTGCCTGCTTTGAATTGGATATCATTATTGTGAATAAAGCTGCCTTTTATTACCTACTTCACTATGGGTGTCCTTCCCTAAAACTCCCTTGAGGAGCTTTTGCTTGCAGAACCTTGGTCTTGGAATTCTACATCTAATCGTGTTAAGGAAGATCGGTTGCTGCATCTGCGGAAAGGGATTCACCATTCCTGTAACCGGATCAGCTTTACTTCCCTCTGGATTGAAGATCCTTGAGTTTTATATACACACTGCGTTTATGTGTCTTACTTCTGGTGAGTGCGTTTTTCCAGCCATTTCCACACGGATCACCTATTCTGAATCCACATCTGACACTGGATACGTTTATATGTCATAGACTTTTAGTGGACTACTTTTTTGTCATTTTGTCATTATTTTCAGCGCTGCACTATTTTTATGTTATTGCTTTTAAGTGTTATTGGTTGCTTAGAGTGCCTAGCCGCTTTCAGGATTAGCGCTCACTGCTGTTTCTTCTTATTCATTTGATCATCAATGTTAACCTTTTCCCAAAAAGTGCCAGTAGTGATCAGTGCATATTTTTAGCACTGATCACTGTATTAGCGTCACTGGTTCCCACAAAGTATCAGTGTAAAAATGTGCACCTCAATATCACAGACCCATTATAATTTGCTGATCGCCACCGTTACTGGTATAAACAGAAATTCCAGTATGTGTCCCATAGTTTGTAGATACTATAGCTTTTGCACAAACTAATCAATATACATTTATTGGGAATTTTTTTTTCTTACCAAAAATATGTAAGCAGAATACATTTTGCCTACATTCATGAAGAAATTTTTTTTTTTTGTTAATATTGGATATGTTTTTATAGTAGAAAAGAAAAAAAAAATTTTTTCTTCAAAATTGTTCGTCTTTTTGTTTATAAGGCAAAAAGTAAAAGAAAGCTCTGTTTGTGGGGAAAAAATTGACCACCCAATTGTCAGTAAAAGTAATGCAGCGCCACATAGCAAAAAATGGCCTGGTCAGGAAGGGAGGTAAATCTTCCGGAGGGCAAATGAATAACTCCTGCATATGTTCAAACAAACACCCATTTTGTGTACAGCTCCTCCTCAGATCAGATCCTAAACACCCACAGGATATTATAGAAGTATATGGCTCAGTGCAGCTAACCTACAGGTGCACTGAGCTGCCCCACAGATCAGTGTGAAAGCAGCCTAATAGTTAACCATTTTATAGGTGCTAATAGGCCCATTGCAAAAGCACCACCTAGGAGGAGCCACAGCTAGACGGGAAGCATCCGCTCTGTCCGCTGCCGGCTCTGACTCGATGCACTCTGATGCTCTTGGATGGTGGGTCAGCAAGCCCAGCCCAGATCACAATCAACAAGCTGCTGACTCCAGGCATACATTTGCCTGGTTTGAGGGCTACAAGTTGAGCACCCCTGTATTAGGACAATATAACTTGGCTTGGATAAAGGCCTTGAAATATTTTCTCTCTGGGAAAACTGACAAATGTTCCTCACATGATTACAGAATGTAAGCTGGGTCCTGGCACTGAAAATTGAGCAATACAGTAACCTGAAAAAGTCAGTGTACAGGTATGAATTCTGTCAATTTGCACTAAACACCATGACTATGTACCACCTAGTGGTCAACATTCAGTTTGTACTCACTAAACCACAGCTGATTACCATTTACTCCATATAAAATCATCCTACTCTGGATGCCACAACACTTTATAACAAATATTGAAATTAACACACATCACAAAACTGTATTTTCTGCAAAGGTGTCAACTGCATAATGGTGCATAATATTCATAAAGAACAGAAGAAATTTAATTTTGTTAAAATACCATATTAATACTAAACAAGAATGGGAGGGCTAAGCAGACAGTACAACAATTCATCAAAAGCTCAAAAACAAATTATTAAAGTCCATTAAAGATAGCCAAAATCTCAAGTAGCATATTTAGGCACTTTGCTTGTATAGCATTAACTTTGTTCATCTTTAGTCCTGTGAACTTTATTTTTTAATTTTAGTGCACACAAGCACAATATAATAGCCAATTCTTAGTAAAATATAAATGTTGCACTGAGTAATGGCTCTTACACGCACGTTCTGATCGGGTCTGCCTGCCATTTTCCAGGCAGACCCAATTGGAACCTCCATTCCCCTCTAAGGAGCAGCTGGTGTAAACGGACATATGTCCGTTTACACCCACCAACATTCGATCCGCCAAAAAAGGGACAGATGGGGATTCAATTCCCCTTCAGTCTGTCAGATTGGATTAAAAAACGGACAGGCGGTCCGTTTTCATCCGACCGCCCAATGAGGAGAGTAAGCTGCTCTGTGTCTGCTGCGCAGCAGTGGAACAGACACAGAGCTGTCATCAGCTTGCTCAGCGGGGATAAGAGGAGAGATCCACCTGCTGAGCATGTGGATCCGCTAAACGGGTCTGCCCTGTGTGAAAGGACCCTATATAGAAACCAAGCATGTCAAGATTTAAAATTGAACGTGCCTGTGAAATGGTGACAGTCTATGCATTAAGGTGAAAAACCACATGTGCTGCAGGATTCCCCCCTGCCTCCCCTTATACTTACCTTGACATGGGATTGCGGATTACGCATGTATTAGAAATGTGTGCAAACAAAGCCCTCTGTTTTTAACACAAACTGTTAAACTGTGCCAAACTAGTTGTTTTGCAGGATAGCTGACAAGTGTCCTGGGAAATCCTAATTCCCTTATACTTACCTGAGCCTGATCCGATCCAGCAATGTACACGAGAGCAGCGGCTCTTGCTGCAGTCTCCCTCCTCCCCTGGGCAGAATTACAGAAATGGGAACCACTGTTTCCCGCTGCTATCAATCAAATGCTGTGTCGAGTAAGTGGAGGTGGGGCGAGGCACCCACTCCATGTCAATGAACGCAGACATAGCGGCTGGAGAGCGAGCCCGCACGGGTGCCCCCATGGAGCATGGCTTTCAATGAGGGCACCCACCAAAGAGGAGGAGCCTGAACTGCCAGCAGAAGACCCAAGAAAAGGGGGATCTGGGCTGCTCTATGCAAGTATAACAGGTTTCTTATTTTAGAGAAAAATGTATTTAAAAAATAAAAAACCTGATTTAAATGTCACTTTAAACATGAACCGTGGCACTAGAATTATTACTCTCACTCTGATATTCGCCATGATATCTAACATGTGGTGCAATCGCTGTTTACGTGTGTGTGACAGGGGTTCTTTCATTTTTTTTATTTTAATTCATTTTTTTTTTTTTTTTTTTTTTTTTACACTCTTTCATTCAATTTTCTTGCCATCACAAGGCAGAAACACCACCCCTTGTGATAGCTTGGGAAGTGGCAGGTACTCTCTAGAGAAAATTAGACCCCTAAATCCTCCTCTGCCCTTCAAGGCAGCCATTTGGAGGTCTGTTTGATGGCTGCTTCCCTGGTACAGCACTGAAACCAGAAAGTGACAAAATCCATGTCACTTCTGGCTTCATTGATCACAGAGGAGATGAAGAGCAGATGTTCCTTCATCTTCTCTGTGGGCAGCTAGCTTGACTGTTTACAATAGGAGATCCTGAGAAAGGACGGTGGAAGGAGGGCTCTTCCAAGCCCTGTAAAAGTGAACAGGCGGCTATAGATCTGCTCGGATCACTTTTACATGAAAGATGATTGCCGGCTTAGAAATACACCAACATGTTCATGACTACAGCCAAGAAGAAAAAAAAAAAAAAAAAAAAACACAACAACAGCACTACAGTTGTTAGCTGCTCCTGCAGATATAAAATGCAGATCATTCCTATCTCTACTAGATGTGAGGAAATCAGGGCTGTATCCCTTTCATAACTCATTCAGATGCGAGTTATGCATAGACTTGACTATAAGTAAACAAAGTGCTAAAACAAATTTCTGAAGCTAACCTCAGTCATGTTTCTGGCAAATGATATAGATATAAAACTATAAACAAAATGCTCATATAAAATAGCATGAAAATAAGGAAATGCCGGTTATCGGCATTTCTCTCCTCATGAGCTGTCACGCTGACAGCTCGTGAGGAGAGGAGAGCCAGTAATCGGCATTCCTCAGAGGGGCATGTACACTGATCATCAGGAACTAATGATCAGTGTAGCCCCATCAGTGCCACCTGTCAGTGTCCATCAATGCCGCCCACCAGTACACATCAGTGAAGGATATTTTGTGAAGTCCAAAATATTGTTTTTTCTCAAAATTTTCAGTTTTTTTTTTTTCTTTTTTTTCGTGGGAGGGGAAAAAAATGTAAATTTAATTTGGGTGCAGCGGTGCATGCCCGCACAATTGTCAGGTAAAGTAACGCAGCACCGTAAAGCAAACAGCTTCTTTAACTTCTTCCTGACTGCCCTATAGCTGAAATACTTCTACAGGGCGGCACGGATGCGCAAAATTACGTATATATATACGTGATTTGTGCTCCCGTGGTTTTCCCGTCCCTCCCACATAGTGTCAGGTTGCCCGTCAATACACCAGTAATCCCATTTAATCCCTTGATTGCAAAGAACACGCTCATACACAAACAATGGAGTGACCCTGAATTTGCCCAGCTCCACAAAATTCAGCCCCTCGTATATCACCTTAACCAACAATTTGCAGATGTCTATACTCCCCAGCAAAAAATCTGCTTCGAGTCCCTCATTAAATTTTTCTGGCTGCCTTGCATTCAAACAATTTCTCCCCCAGCAAAAGTGCCAGATATGGGGTCAAGATGTAGAAGAAGTTTCGGATTTACGAGGGAAAACGATAGTCACGTGGAGCCCCCCGGATGCCCAGACTACATGAGGAGCAGTGGCAAGATGGTTTGGGACTTGGTTTCATCCTTTCCATATGGGGTACAATTTATATGTGGATAATTTTTATTCAAGCTTGACACTATTTGGACATTTGTACAATCTTGGAATTGACGCATGTGGCACCGTGTGGCTACCACTAGAAGTGGGTGGATGCAGGGCAGTATATTCTAATGGTGGGCATACCACACACTTTTTCTAGCAGAGATGTCTTCTCTCCCCCCCCCCCCCCATTCAGCCCACAGGCTGCATGAAAAAAAAAAAAAAACACAAAAAAAAACACCACAACAAAATCCACATAGCATATATACCCATCACTGGACTTTAGCTGCAGGATTGCCTTTACAAGCAGCGGGAGATGATGCCCCCCTCCCTTGCTGCCTTCCACGGCCCTCTCGGGCAGTCCCGTGCCATCGGGGGAACCTGATAATGCAGCCGGTGTTTTCTGCCAGCTGACCATAGAGCTGACTGGAAAGCGGAATGGTGCCAATCATCTCTATAGTCTAAGAAAATCGGAAGCTATGAGCATTTCACCACTTCAGTTTTGCAGGATATAAACAGCGCCATTTGTAAATTGGGAAAGCATCTTATGACACCGATCTTGGGGAGATTACATAATGTAAGGGCAAAAGAGATATCTAGAGTCTGAAAGACCCCAGATTTCTCAAAAAATATATGACAATGCCCATTGAAGTTATAGGGGATATTTGCATTCCTTGTGATCGCATTAAAAGTGCAAAAAAAAAAAAAAAAAAAAGCACCCTTGCACCCCCCCCCCCCCCCCCAGCACCTGCATGTGCAAGCGTTGACCCTGTGCCGGTATGTAAACAACAGAATAGAATAGCAATAAAAGTGAACACTCTTGTAGGTAAGCAGCTGAACACTCAAGGAAACCAAACAAAGCCTTGTGATAAACTTAAAAAAATATGTGCAGCGCTAGTCAGTAAATTATAATAAATGTCCCCATGATAAGAACATCAATTAATGACAGTCTCTATATGAATATATCGTGATCTATAGCTTTCAATCCAGTGGTGGTGCTCCCAATGGTAAAGTAAAAATTGCACATTCACCAGAAGCGTAATGTCAGATCAAGGGCAGTAATTCTAACACTAGACCTCCTCTGTAATTCTAAAATGGCACCTTGTAAAGGCTTTTAAAGCGTTGCCTATGGATATTAAAAACGTATGCAGTTTGTCATCATTGCATGGGGCATGCACAGTTTTAAAGCATGTCATGTTTGGTATCTATTTACTCGCCATACTAATCATCTTTTATATTTTACCAAATAAATGGCCAATATATTGTGTTTTTGTGCATGAAGTAAAAAAAAAAATATTTTTTTAAAAATTTGCGTTTGAAAAATCGCTGCACGAGTACTATGTGACATAAAAAAATTGCAGCACCCACCATTTTATTCACTAGGGTGTCTGCTTTAAAAAATGCATATAATGTTTGGAGGTTCAAAGTAATTTCCAAACAAAAAAAAAAGATTTTTTTCATGTGAACAAAGCGTCAGAAAAGGCTTGGACTTCAGAGGTGGCTAGAAGAGTGAATGATGTGTGGCATAAACTTCTAATGCCAGGCATAAAATGCCCCCAGCCCCCAAAACGACCCCCTTTTGGAAAGTAGACACCCCAAACTATTTGCTGAGAGGCATGTTGAGTCAATAGAACTTACTTTTTTTAATACAAGTTTTTGGAACATAATTTTTTTTTTTCTTTCCCCCCCACACACACAAAATTGTCAGTTAAATCATTTATTGCTCACACATGCCATGGGTATATGTGGAATCACTCACCAAAATACACTCTGCCATTTCACCTTCTGGCTTTTAAAGGGCTTTATTTCCTCTTTACACCTCCTGACTACCTATCACAGTTTCGGAAGCCCTGAAATGCCAGGATAGCACCAAACTCCCCCAAAATGACCCCCTTTTTGGAAAGTAGACACCCCAAGGAATTTGATAAGAAGCATGGTGAGTATTTTGCAGAAAAGAGGTCATTTGGGGGTGTTTGTACTGTCCTGGTATTTTAGCACCTCAAGAAATGTGATGGACAGTCAGAAAGTAAAAGCTGTGTAAATGCCATTGTCTATGCCAGCCTCTCTCAGCCAGGATGCCTTGAGGTTTCTTCAGGGGTGCCCTAGCAAAAACGTCTAAAAATTGCCCAAAACTTGTATACAAGCCAGCAGATGGAACAAGTCAGCCTTTTAGTTACACAAAGCCACAGGTTTTCATTGTGCACCATTACGACCTTCTAGTCAGCGGCGACCTGACAACCAATGACATCAGCTGATAAGGAGGATGTCAGCTGCCTGCACAGCATCCTAGTTTGACCTTCCCCCACCCCTCTCCATCAGTGCTGGGGTCACATTAGTTCAGTGATGGAGAAAAACTGAGGGAGAAGAGAAACACTGGAATACTAGTCAGTACCAGTGTGCAAAAGTGCATTTGCTTTGGAAGAATAAATCAACTCTAATTTTGGATGTCCTACATGTGTGGATGTTGCTCTGTTATATTATATATTAGAATAGTTTTTCACAATTTAGAATGGGGTGCCCTTTTAAAATTATGGATAGCCTTGCGGCACCCCATTTTAGAATGGGGTGCCTCAGGACTGTCCATAATAATTTTATAGGGTGCCTTGACTGAAAAAAGGTTGAGAAACACTCATCTATACCATAGTTTGTAGACGCTATAAACTTTCACACAAAGCAATCAATATACACTTACTGGGATTTTTTTTTAACCAAAAACAAGTAGCAAAATACATTTTGGCCTAAATTTATGACAATTGAGTGTTTTTTTTTGGATATTTATGACAAATGAGAAAAAAAAAATTTTTTAAAAAAAAAAATGTTTCCAAAACTTTGTTTATAGCACCAAAAATAAAATGCGCACAGGTGATCAAATGCCACCAAAAGAAATCTCTATTTGTGCAAAAAAAGGATGTAAATGTTTGTTTGGATACAGCTTTGCATGACCGCGCAATTATCAGTTGAAATAGTGCAGTGCAAAATAGCAAAAAGAGGCCTGGTAAAGCTGTCTCAATGCTCCCATTTAGCATTGCCTGGTCATGCAAGAGAATTTTTAAATGAAGCCCCTTTTACATTATGGATTACAAATAATAGCGGCTACATAACAGTTAGGTCTTCCTTCTACACATGGACCGTATGACATAGCATTCACCTGGCAGTTCATGTTATCCTCTGCCTCAATAAGCTTCCCTCTGTACACCTCGCCTGTATTCGTCTCACAGGTCACAATATGCCCTTCTGCTTCATGGAGGACCTTGATGGGAACACCGATAGACATCTTGGCTATGAAGTATTAAAATCTAAGACAAAGAAAATCAAGTTAATGGGAGAATCACAACTTATTTTCAATTACCTTCAACCCTATCATATGAATAAAGCATTTCTTGAAGTGTTTGTTACCCCAACATTTCATATTCCTGATGTGTCTGTAGTATCTTGTGTTAAAAAGTATCCTGTTCTCTTTGTATTGCCTCCTTTGTGTGATATACCTGGGGATCCTGCCAGTCCCTCTGCTTTCCTATTAAAAAAACTGACCACGCAAGGCTGATCGGACTTGTGCTGACATGGCCCCCCTTCCCAGAGATTCACTGTGAAGATCAGTGAATTTCTACCTTCTGCTGACATGCCCCCCTGCAGTTTTCACTCCGGGCTGAATTTCGACTTATCTATAGGCAGGCTGGTTGGTCAGAAGTTGATGTCTTCATCGATTTCTGTACAACCTGCCTCTTGGAACATTTTTTACTCAATTAGTGCTGCCGGCTATAACCTACGGTGCTGATCTGTGTATTCTGATAGTGAAGAGGTCTCCCCACTGTTGGAATACAAAAGCTCAGTGGGAAGGATTCCCCCATCCACATTGAGTGTGATGATGGAGGGGATATAAATCAATCAAGTAATGAGCTCCCTCAGGCAGCGCAACGAGGTAGCTGCGACGTGTGGCCACCCTCAGGCAGCCGCGACGTGTGGCCACCCTCAGGCAGCCGCGACGTGTGGCCACCCTCAGGCAGCCGCGACGTGTGGCCACCCTCAGGCAGCCGCGACGTGTGGCCACCCTCAGGCAGCCGCGACGTGTGGCCACCCTCAGGCAGCCGCGACGTGTGGCCACCCTCAGGCAGCCGCGACGTGTGGCCACCCTCAGGCAGCCGCGACGTGTGGCCACCCTCAGGCAGCCGCGACGTGTGGCCACCCTCAGGCAGCCGCGACGTGTGGCCACCCTCAGGCAGCCGCGACGTGTGGCCACCCTCAGGCAGCCGCGACGTGTGGCCACCCTCAGGCAGCCGCGACGTGTGGCCACCCTCAGGCAGCCGCGACGTGTGGCCACCCTCAGGCAGCCGCGACGTGTGGCCACCCTCAGGCAGCCGCGACGTGTGGCCACCCTCAGGCAGCCGCGACGTGTGGCCACCCTCAGGCAGCCGCGACGTGTGGCCACCCTCAGGCAGCCGCGACGTGTGGCCACCCTCAGGCAGCCGCGACGTGTGGCCACCCTCAGGCAGCCGCGACGTGTGGCCACCCTCAGGCAGCCGCGACGTGTGGCCACCCTCAGGCAGCCGCGACGTGTGGCCACCCTCAGGGAGCGCAATGAGGGAGCTGCACCCACATCCCCCGTGATCCCAGTGCAGCCATATACCATAGACTAGTCCCATAGGTACAGCACTCCCTCTCACTGAAGCACCATGATCTCTCCGCACCAAAACACTGCCCGGCCTGTTCCCTAATACATCAACCCATTCATAGCAGGATGTGCCGCTACCCCATTGTGTCCAGCCATTTACCCTCCCAGGCAGCGAATGCATATACCTACCTGTGTGGTCCCAGGTACCCAAAAACTGGCTACAAACCACTACAATACTCACTTCCTCGCGTGGCTTCTGTTCTACGACCTAATGGCGTCCCGCCTGCCCCACAATGCACCGAGAACAGGAAGCAGAATGCCGCCAGCGCCTCTGATTTCCTTGTTGACCCGCGTGACCGCCGATAGGAACAATAGCAGGGCTGGAAGGTTCCGCCTCGTGGATAGTTCCGCCTTATTACAGCAGGCGAGGGGGATGAAAGCCGCCCACGTGGAGTGATTGGGCAGAGCATTTCATAGTTAAATTTCTTAGAAGGTGAAGCAGTGATTGGTTGACTCGGAAATATTTGTTTCTGCATTTTTTTTTTTTTGCATCCACCACATTATTTTCCCCTGTGAATGAATGGTTAGGCAAGCCATAGATTAATCGAAAATCACCATATTCCCCCATCAATACAGTCAATGCTGATAGGAAATTGCTCCTGCACAGCTATTGCGTTCTGCCAAGGGGGCTATGGTTGCCACCTCATCCCTTAGCATTTAAGCACTTAGCGGTTATAGCCATCAGCAGTGATCATTGTGTTCTTCCAGGCCAGGAATGCCCCCTGAGGCTGCCCCACGGTTGCTAGCTCTTTTTTTAACCGCTTGCCCACTGCTCTATACTAGAAGTACTGCTACAGGTACATGAGTTGCATTTCTGGGTATATGGCGCACACACGCCACCATTGGCGGCTGGGGATGTCAATCACCGGGTCCTGTCCGAAGATTCCGCACCAGCACCCAATGATCATCAGGCAAAGCTGACAGGGGAGAGCCCTGTGTGTAAATAACACAGGTCTCTCTCCTGCCAGCAAAGACATGCTGCTTTGTATTTCTGTGCACAGCAGAGAGATACAAAGCAGCATGTCTCCCTTGTAAAACACACACAGCACATAATGTAAAACACACACAGCACACAGTTAACCCTTCAACTGCCCAGCTGTTAACCCCTTCCTGCCCAGTGTCATTAGTACAGTGTCAGTGCTTTTTATTAGCACTGATCACTATATTGGTGTCACTGGGGATGTCAGTGGCAGTTAGTTCCCCCCAGTGTCAGAATGCCCACCACTGTTCCACTATAAGTCGCTGATCGCCGCCATTACTAGTACAAAAAAAAAATTCCAGTATATATACCACCATTTGTAGACACTATAACTTTCACATTAACCAATTAATTTACACATATTGGGATTTTTTTTGGCAAAGACATGTAGCAGAATACATTTTGGCCTAAATTTACGAAGAAATTTGATCTTTTACATTTTTTTACTGGATATGTTTTATAGCAAAAGGTCAAAAATATTGTGGGTTTTTTTTCAAAATTGTTGGTATTTTTTGTTTATCGTGCAAAAAATAAAAACACAGAGGTGATCAAATACCACCGAAAGAAAGCTCTATTTGTGGGGAAAAAAGAACATCAATTTAATTTCGGTGCAGCGTTCCATGACCGCGCAGTTGTCAGTTAAAGTAATGCAGCACAGTATCGCAAAAAATGGGCTGTCAGGAAGGGGGGTAATTCCTCTGGAGGGCAAGTGGTTAAAACCAAACACATAATAATCACAGGTTCTGAGGACAATTTAATGCAGATAAGGCACTAGGTAAGTTAAACTGCCATCTTAATCAGCCAGAGAACCTGTCTATTAATATGTGTTCAGTTTTAAAGGGATCAGGTGGCAACCATGGGGGGAAGGGGGGAACTTAGAGAGCTTTCCTGGCCTGGGAGAACACAATGGTCACTGCTGACGGCTATAGCCGCTGGCGGTATTCAAATGCTTTAAATCCAACAACAGGCTGGTTGTACCCAAGTTGATCGATGGACCAACTTGGGTAACAATCAGATTGTCCCATTGATGGATCGAACCTTGGCCGGCCTCTGCTGAGATTCAATCCATCTATAGCTGGTTGTAAGTCTGGTATCTGTGGATGCAGTGACCTGAGCTTGGTCCAAGTATTTGAACCCCACACAGCTTGGAAATTGTTCTGACAGAGTCCATATTTAACTAATATCCTACTATACAACAGAAACACCTATTTCACGTGGGTATTCCATTCGTTCATTTTTCATCTGTCACTTTTGGATGAAAAATGGGCAGCAATTCATTCCTATGGGCTTGAGGATGTGGTCATCATCTGTTTACATCAATCAACATCTTTGTCCAATCAGGACTGTTTTTTTTAATGTGGGAGCCAGCTGTAACTATGTGATGTTTTACAGTTGGCTCCCTATTATGTTTTGCAAGATCATGCAGCGCTGGAAAACTGGTCCTGCAGCCCCTTGGTACGTGTGGATTGGACAGCTGTTGGCGCCAAGCTGTTAAGGTCCCGTCTGCTTCTTCTTCATGGACAGAGACCCCACAAACCTTTCTTTGTATTTACCGTCTTGGATATGTGCTCCCAGCTAGAGGCCCATTCACAACATCCCTGACCATAGGCCCATTGTTAAATAAATGCCTGTCCACTTTCAGACACAATTTCAGCACTGCAATGCAACTAATGCTTCTTCCAGTAATACACCACATTAGACATACTGATGATAGACTCTTCGTTTCCAAGTGCCACTGGTAAAAATATACATCCTGCAGCAGTCTTTCTTAGCGCAAAGCACAAATACACATATTCAGCAATCATCGCTTCTAGGAAGCACCACAGATATGGGACAGCTCCTCAATAGTAATAGTAAGTTCCTGAGCCCTAGGCATTCCTGCACCAAGCCACAGGACCCACAGCTGAGGGCCAGGGTGGCAAGGTCTCTCCATTAGCATACTATGACTTTTTTATATGTTAAAAAAATCTAAAGAATATATTTAAAAAATATATATTTTTAAAAATATATATTTGTTAAATATATTTTTCAGATTTTTTTAACATGTAAAAAAGTAATTTTAACATATATTTTTACACATATTTGTAAATGCATTTAAAAAATGTAGATTTGTATTTTTAAAGACATACAGTATATTTGAAATGTATTTTTTTTTAAATTTTGCATATATTTTGTAATAAAAACGCATTTCAACATGCAGTGTTCATTCATAGCACAGGTCGGCAAGGTGCACACACACACCCCGAACCTGGAAAAAAGATTGCGACGTACAGATAAGACGCTTGGCCTGAAGTACAACTACTGTGGAGGGGTGGCAAGCAGTTAAGCACCTGCTTACGCTCCACTATTCTTTCCAAAATGGAAAAAAAAAGTTTTACTTTCAGTTCTACTTTAAGGCTATCTGGTCAAATTCAAAACATACTAGTGATGCAGAGAAACAGCTTGACTGGAGAACTGGAGAAAGTGTGGAGAAGGGCAACCAAACTGATAAGAGGCATGGAGGAGATGAGGAAAGATTAGAGGAACTGAATTTATTCTCTCTTGAGAAGAGGAGATTAAGGGGGGATATGATCAACATGTATAAATATATAGGTGGTCCATATAGTGAATTTGGTATAGATTTATT